CTTTAGCTGAATCTTGGATCATTCTACCTTTTGAGATCATCTTCTACCCTGTTGATTTTTGTTTTGTTTACTGGAGTTGTTGTTCGGTTTCTGATCCGCCGTTTCGTCGTGGGTTTTTGTTCCGATGGCGATCAAAGAGGAGACGGAGGAGAGTTGTGGAAGCAGAGTCGTCGTGGCTTCTATATCTAAAGAAAACCCTAGGCAACATCGTATGAAACTCGAGGTGTATAGCGAAGTTCTAAAACGAATCCAGGAATCGAATTACGAAGAAGCTAATCTCCCTGATTTCGATGATCAGCTTTGGCTCCATTTCAATCGTCTTCCTGCTCGGTAAGCTTTATTGGGCTTTCTTACTCAGCAAAGGGAGAATCTATGGATTTTGATGCTTTGGATCAATGATTAAGGGTTTGCAATTTGTGTGTTGGCTTAGGTTGATTGAATTTTATTTCATGATTTTGTCCTGATTTCATGTTTACTTAATTTTGTTTAGATATGCTTTGGATGTAAATGTTGAGAGAGCAGAAGATGTTCTTAGTCATCAAAGATTACTGAAATTAGCTGAAGATCCTGCAACTAGACCTGTATTTGAAGTTCGTTGTGTACAGGTAAATTAAATCTTCGTGTTTGATACTGAAATCTTTGTTTTGAAGCTGCATTCTCTTTTGCTGACTTGATTGGTACTTGTGTTCCTCTTTTTACTACAGGTTTCTCCCACTTTTAATGGAAATTCTGTTGATACTGATCCTTCAGATCCTGCGATGAACGAAGATGCTCAAAGCTCATACCACTCGAGCAGGCAGGGATTATGCATTTCCTTTTGGCTGATCTTTAGACTTTTTCTCCTTTTGTGACTATTTTCTTACTTCCTGTTAAAAAGGGTTCTTGCACCTCCAACTTTTGGCTCTTCTCCCAATTTTGAGGCTCTTACACAAGCCTATATAGATCATGCTGAAGATGATGACAGTGCTGTCAATGCGTTGCCTAGTTCTCGGTGAGAGTTGTTCTGAATTTTGTTTTTTCAGTTATATTATTGTATTTGCTCCGGTGTTGGTTGCATAATTTTAAAGAGGAATGCTTTGTAGCATGGAATCGTGGTCTCATGTTTTTCAGGTTAACCTGATTTTATTGTACAACCACGTGCGGTGATAATATCCTTTGTTACCTGTCTTATAGACCGATGCATGAAATCACCTTTTCAGACATTGATAAGCCAAAACTCCTTAGCCAGGTTGGTAAATTTATTTTTTCTTCTGTTCTTTTATATCATCTCTGATAAATGAAACATGTGGCTTGGTGTTCCTAAAACTAGTGTGGCAAATTTCTCTTCTGTTGAGTTAGAGTGATGTTAATGATTCCCAATACACAAATACGTACATTTCGCTTCTGCTGATTCATTGCACAAACTTAGTCACAGTTTAAAGGATCTATTAGAGACTGTCATGTAAAGAATGGGTGGTCATTTTTTCCATGTTGTCATTTTGTGAGCAAGAAACCGTCTTTTGTTCCAGCTAACTTCCATGCTTGGTGAACTTGGTTTAAATATTAAAGAGGCTCATGCTTTCTCTACTGTGGATGGTTTCTCTCTGGATGTTTTCGTTGTTGATGGTTGGTCGCAGGAGGTATAGTTTCAGTTTTCTGCATGGATCACATCTTTTAGAACCATCATGTTACTAGTCACTGATGTATCAAGTGAATGACTTAAGAAAGATATTGACCATTGACGACCTTTCTGTCCTGTCATCACTAAGCTATTTGAGAAACTTTATTCACTTTGGAAATTACAGGAAACAGAGGGTTTAAAAGATGCACTGAGGAAGGAGATAAGGAAGCTCAAGGTATCTTATATATTTTTCTTGTCATGGGCAGGTCTTATCTTCATGAGATTCCTCATATTTTCTCCATGGCTCATTCTTAATTTGAATTCTGAAAATGCAAGTAATGCTTTAGCGTTAGCTCGCCCCAAAATTTAGTGTGACGCTGTACTGATGTTCTGTTGCTATGTTTTTGCACAACTTTTGATAGTTGTCCTCTCTCCATATTCCACACTGGCTGCTCTGCAGGATCAACCTGGTTCAAAACAGAAATCTATCACTTTCTTTGAGCATGACAAATCAACCAACGAGCTGGTACCTGCCTGTGTAGAAATTCCTACTGATGGAACTGATGAATGGGAAATTGACATGAAACAGCTCAAAATTGAAAAGAAAGTGGCATGTGGATCGTACGGAGAACTGTGAGTTCCTTCATTCCAAAAGTATATTTATTTCCCTTATACTGGAAGTTTATATTATGAAGTTAACAGATATATATCCTTGATGTCTATGCAGGTATAGAGGAACGTATTGCAGTCAGGAAGTCGCTATCAAAATTCTCAAGCCTGAGCGTGTAAATTCTGAAATGCTCCGAGAATTTTCCCAGGAAGTGTATATAATGAGGTTTGTTGCAGTTGATTCTCATTATCACTCATAAATATACAGGAGTTTCTCTCATTTTTCACTGCCATCCTCTATCATTAAGCAAAGTTTTTATTCAGAGAAATGAGCGAATTTTCTCATCTCTTATGTTGTATAAACTAGCCAACATGCGTATTCTAGATGCTGAATGTTCTCTAGTTACGGTTGTTACTGATAGTTTCCTCTTTGTAGGAAAGTACGACATAAAAATGTTGTTCAATTTATCGGAGCGTGCACACGATCTCCAAACCTGTGCATTGTGACCGGTAAGTTCTTAATAGATTCTGAATATGGGACTGGTTCTCTTTGGATCAATTTTTTTTTTAATTTTCTCTTTTGTATCTGGATACCTGGTGAGAAAGTTGTTTCAGCAAGACAGTGAAATTTCTGTAGGTTATTGCTTTGTAATTTCCGTAACATTTCATTTGGAAGTTTTGGCTTTAATATGTATGCATGGTAACTGATTTTTACGCTTTTGTAACAGAGTTCATGGCTCGGGGAAGCATTTATGATTTTCTTCACAAACAGAAAGGGGTTTTTAAACTTCAATCTTTGCTCAAAGTGGCACTTGACGTCTCGAAAGGAATGAACTATCTGCATCAAAACAATATTATCCACAGAGACCTAAAGACTGCTAATCTTCTTATGGACGAACATGAAGTAAGCCTCAATCTTTGACCACTGATCATGTAGTCTTTCAGCATTCTTTGGTCATTGCTTATTCGTCTTTCAGCTTGTAAACCTTTGAAATTCTACAGATATTTTTTTCCTCTTTTCCGCTCCACAAAAATATTTTCATTTTAATAGAATAGAGGTACATGTGTTTAGAGTCTGCATATTTTTGAACAGGTTGTCAAGGTTGCTGATTTTGGGGTTGCCAGAGTGCAGACTCAGTCAGGGGTCATGACAGCGGAAACAGGGACTTACCGGTGGATGGCTCCAGAGGTATGTGTTCTTTCGGGCATCTTATTTTTGTTTTTGTTGTATATGAAACTAATGACATATCTGTGGAGATTGTTGGTTATTTCTCTGCCAAACAATGTATTTGTCTAGTGGGTGAAAATGTCTGAAACCATTTGAGATGACGTTTAGTTTTAAACATGACATTCACCTATGGAAGATCATTAGTTAATGCCTGAATTAATTGTTGTTTCTTCCATTTTCTTATTTCTCTACTTTGTATTTTCTAAACTCAGGTCATTGAGCACAAACCATATGATCACAGAGCAGATGTCTTCAGTTACGCGATTGTACTGTGGGAGCTTTTGACTGGGGAAGTAAGACTCTTAATTTTTTCTTTCTCTCTCTCTTTGGAATGGTAGAATCGTTAACATCTGCGTTTGACAAAAAAAAATTCGGGGGGATTCTTATTTCTCCCATCTTTGGTCTATAATGAATGAAAACAGCTCCCATATTCTTACTTGACTCCACTACAAGCTGCTGTTGGCGTTGTTCAAAAGGTATAATGTTTAAAAGGACTTTAAAGTTCTCTTTTCTTCATGCTTTGTTGGGAGGCTTTAACACAATGACTATTTTACAGGGACTTCGACCGCAAATTCCGAAGCAAACACACCCAAAACTGACTGAGCTTCTCGAGAAATGCTGGCACCAAAACCCTGCTCAAAGACCCAATTTTGCAGAAATCATAGAAATGCTTACCCAACTAATCCTCGAGGTAATTTCTTTATCATTGTATATCTCAGCTAAGGTAAACGTGTACAAACACGATTCCGAGTAATAATATGTTGTGAAACCACCAGGTTGGAGGAGAGGAGCGCCACAACGATAAACATGGCGGGTACTTTCCAGGCCTACGAAAAGGCCATCATTGATCCTCTCCTCTGCACAACTTGTGGTGATCGGTTTGATAGAGCTCCGCTCAGTTCTCTTTTTTCTCCTCTTGCTTTTTAAAGTTTTTTTTTTTGTGCCTTATGGTGAGAGATCTCGTTATAAATGTAGAGTATTTTTTTAGAACCTCACTTTTTTCTTTCCCATGTATAACTTTTTAAATCAGTTTCCTTTGAGAACGCGGATCACTTCAGAGACTGACTTGCAAGACTTTCTCTCAGGTCTGCTTTCAAGTGAGGATAGTAATCTTATTAATTGGTCATGAACGATTTCATCCATAGTCAGGAACACTTATGTTGAGAATATCTATACAGCATTTATGTATATACAGAAGGATAGGCCACGTTAAATTCACTCTTCTACTGGTAGCTCATTCTCTGTCCACGCGACGAACCCTCCAGCAATGTCTGTGACCCCAGTGAAGCCCTGTACACGCACCAGTAAACCGCATCTCCAAAATCAGGTAACTGTTTTTTAACCAATTTCTAATCGCTAAGCTATATAAGTAGATGTGAATCACACTTACAGCAGTGAGAAGATCAGTTGAAGCCATGAAAGACATTTGCCCGCTCTCGCAACCCTGCGATAGTTTTATCAAAAATGTTAAAAAAGCCGGGTTGCTTTCATCATCGTGTTTTTCACTTTCTGCCAAAAAATCTAAACTTACGATGATGAATTCGTCGTGTTTTCTGAAGTGGGACGAGACCTGCCTTAGAAAACTCGGGTTCTTGACCATCCCTGCAACTCGGGTTTTTTGGCTTAGAGTTAGCTTAAAGTTTCTCATATAAACTTTTTTATTTCAATAGAGGATTCTAAAGGTAGGTGATGAAAACCTGATCCGACTCTGTACATGTAAGGAACGTTGATGGCACTAGACGGATGCCGGATACTGAATTCGTCTGGTGTCCTCACGTCGAGATACCGATATCCCGCTTGAGCTAGCTCGTGAGCTACTCTTACCGGTACAGACGTAGGAACTCTAACCGCCTCTGCTGCAACATTTGCTCTGCTTGTTGTTACTTTCCTCCTTCAACATACAATTGAAAACAAGAGAGTTTTTGATCATAATTTTGAATGGTAGTTCTTGATCAGAATTTTGAGTGAGAGAGATTTCTGTCGTCGCTTACCATCGGAAGTTTGAGTTTCGAAGATCAGCTACAACCACACCTCTTCTTGTTGAAGGTAATTGCCATTTGGAAGATCCAAACACTTGTAGTGGTGGAGAAACAGTCGATGACCAGCTTCCAATTCGTGCCGGTGTGTTAAAAGTCGTAATTTCCATTTTCTTCTTCTTCTTAAAACTGTTCTTAGTCTCTCTTAGATGCTTCTTCTCTTGCATTATTGCATGTGTATTTATACAGTACAGACACAAATGGTATGGGTGACACGTCAGCCAGTTTTATGTCCGTCTTTGAGTCTATATCCTTCTATACAATTATTATACCGAAGAAGTGGATTCGAAAGACCATGTCCATTTGGAGTATGTAGATAGAAATTTTAGAGATAAACATAAAAAAATAATAAAAAAAGGAGAAATGGTTTTTAAATGAGAACTTTGAGATATCCATAAGAATTCCAAAAACGCTTATCAATTAATGATTAG